ATATTATATAAAAGATCCCAATTCTAATGCCCATAAGAAATTCAGAACCCAAGCTGGTAGAACATATAAATATAAATTTTGAAATGGAACAAGTATATTTTGCTGTTGTTCGTTCATTATCTATTCTCTAGGTATTATATGTATCTTTCATTAAAATGAAACATAACTTGTTTAATCATAATTGTATTTACAACAAATCCCTTGCTTGATATTAGTATGTCAAATTTCATTAATTACGTTCTTCAGAATGCATTACTTCCAAAAGGCAAGAGATCATTTAAAAATCTAAAATACAAATACGTACATACTCTTTAAATTGGATAGTCTCACATATTCAAAATGTCAAGCAGAATAGCTAAGTATAGTTAAGCATAAAATATCGCTCAATTTTAAAAAACCATTTCAAACACCAAGTCAAATGATTTCTAAAAACTGATGAAAATAAACTGTAGTGCTACAACATACAATTCTTAATTATCTTTATCAGATGAGTATCTAAAAATGATCTAAAGGAACTGAAAAAAGAAAGCTCATTAATTACTTACCTGACTTTATCCCTGAACTTCACAATTGGCACTTTTGCTCGAATCAGCTGAGGTCTCTCAATGTAGCCCGCTGAAAGACAAAAGATAATGTGAATATCGGCAAATGTTTCTAGAATTCAGAGTGTTCCAATGCACATTTTTAAAAAAATAGTATTTACTAAGCTAAAATAATTTAAGAAAACGTCTGTGAAAAAGAATACACGCAAGGACATTATCAAATTCTTCTAAGGTTGGAGGCTCCAGTAATACCATTTAGGGGGCTTTATATTAAGGTTATTTTCAGGAATGTGGTCTAATATAGTATCTATAGAGAAGTTGATCAGATTACTGTAAGAGTGAAAATATATCTAAGCTAGCAGTAGAGGGAATAGCTAATTTTGGTACAGCACAGAGTAAGGTATCATGGTAACTATAGAAATCATATTTACAGAGTCTTATGTGTGGAAATGCTTTGCAACATGATACATGGGGCTTGGATGCATTCAGTAAGTGTGATCTCTATGAGTGAAAAATACATATATTTATTATACACATGATCTCTACAAGTGAAAAATTCAGAACAGCTTAGTGAACACCAATTATTGTGCTATTATACACAGGAGTATCAGTTGATAGGAAATTCAAATATATACACATATGTATTACATATATACACATATCATATACAACATATAATAAAAGTATATACATATTTTTATTCCATCAAACTAAAAAATTATTGAGTTGAAAGTAATACATGCTTATCATAGAAAATTAGGAAAATACAGAAGTGTATAAAAATGCAATTCTGAAAATCTTTCCCAAATGAGCAATTTTCTAATTTTTTAACTACAGAAAAAGTAGTACCAGGATTTTTTTAAACCCGAAAATTTTCTGTTATAATGTTTTACCATCAAAATTACAGAATTTATATCAGCTGGGCTTGGTGGTTCACGCCTGTAATCCTAGCACTTTGGGAGGTCAAAGTGTATGTATCACTTGAGGCCAGGAGTTTGAGACAGGCCTGGCTAACATGGCAAAACCCCGGCTCTACTAAAAATACAAAAATTAGCCAGTTGAGGTGGCACACACCTGTAATGCCAGTTAATAGGGAGGCTGAGGCATGAGAATCGCTTAAACC